GCTTGAACACAAGTAGTTCGTATAGCACGTTTTCGTCTGTTTCTTGTATGTATCTGTAAATAACATATTCTATTCTGTTTCTTGCGTCTAGAAGGACAGTGTAATTCCCATAAATTCTATTTCAAAAACTGCCAACTCCATATAAGTCTGTGGAATACACGCGGGCGCGCCAGTGATAGCAACATCAGCAAAGTCGATATCCCAACTGATTTTCTTATCGAGATCAATGGCGAGTGGAGTTATATCACTTTGGTTGAACTCCCTCAGAACTCTTCCAAGTCGTCCTTCTTGTTCTGCAATTTCCAAATGGAAGTCTGCAAATGCGTAGTCTTTTGTCCTTAGAAAGATATAATAATATTTTAAATCGGTAATATTGTCTCGTAATATATTGGGGATTTGGTGTCTGTAGTACTTCTTTTCTTCCGGCATGACGGTGTACCCATAGCAATTCTTTCTTTGTCCTCTTTGGGATTCTGTTACTGCAGATGTTAACTCGTAGTCTGTGTTGTTTTCTTTTGTGATAACAATTAAGAAGTGGTCTGTAGTGATAGAGTCTGCTCTTAACTTAAACCATTGCCCCAAATTGTATTTCTTCTCCTTTGAACAGAACCCATAATCAACATAACTATATTGGTCAATTCGAACTTTGATGGGTTGATTCAAATAAACTTCCGTTAGAGACTCTTCTGGTGGTAACCAAGAGCCATCAGCTTTAATTATTTTGTTTGTGCTTAATATACAATCAGTACCATTGGTAATGTACACATCTGATGTATCAAGATACGGATTGTTAAATCGACAATTATTACAAGAACGGTCATTGTCATACTCGGCCTTACATTCTCCAGTACATGTGAACTGAGTAATACAGCCATCTGGACATCCCGGAGAACACTGGAATGAATACACCAAAGTGAACAACATAAGTAAGAACATGCAACCAATATAACACATCTCTTTGAACCTTGTGTTTTTGAAAGTTGATATTTTTTTATAGACCCTTTCTATTTATATTTTCATTAAAGCTAAGGACGTAAAATGCTCTTTCTATTATATTTGGGGGTTACACATCATATTGTATTTTTTTATTTTTAAACCACTAACCAACTTTTTTTAAAAACTTACAAAAATCACAAATAATTTAGAAATATATATAGCTTCCAATTCAGCATTTAACGCTATTATAGCAAAGTGGTAGTATGATCTGTCTGTCCGTTTAATTAAGTGGCGTTTAATAGTTATGTTTAATATAAATAACAATATAAATAAAAATGAATCATCAAGTTTGAATATCAAAGCCCACAAAAAAAATTGGAGGTGGTTGTAAGAAAATATATCTTTGTATGAAAACTATGTATTTTTATAATTTTTGGTACTAACCACTAATTCTATATAAACTTTATTCTTAAAGATATTTTATAAAATAATTTCAATAACAAACAGTAACTATATTATTGGTTGAACAAATTAACTCAATATCGTTCAAAAATATTGCTTTATATTACCATTATCATTAATTTATGTAAAATAACAATTACTTTTACGAACATATTACCCAAAAATCAATTGATGCCAACTTAAAAATAAAATACAAATGCTCAACAAAAAATGTGATTGATTTAAATATAACCGCTTATATCATTTGATAATATATTGTATTTGTACAAATTTGAACAATATTGTTTAACTTCCGTTGTTTTTATTCACAATAAAAATAAAATGGAATTATAACAAACGATTTTATG